ACATTTTGGAATACAAAGAACAGAAAAAATAAAGGCAGGTGGCAAGAAACTTAGGTGGCAAAGAAGAACCTTTGCAAAGAAGGCACCACAGCAGAGAAGGCTTGGCCTCAGATTGTTATTTTCCAGGCCTCTCAAGGTGTTAAAATTCGTAGGTACAGTACATGGTCACTGAGGACCTGGTTGGACGGGCAGTTGAGCTTGGCAGGAGACAGTCAGGTAACAAGGTCCGAAACCATCCAGGGCTTTATATGTTAAAACCAACACCTTAAACCTGGCATGGAAGTGGACTGGTAACCAGTGCACGCTAGCCAGGATTGGGGTAATGTGGGGTAATATTTCTTCACCCCAGCAATCAATCTGGCTGCTGCATTTTGGACCTCTTTAAGCTTCCATGTGAGTCACAGGTGGACATAACGAGGGTCCATCCCCATGGAGCTGGACAGTCCACTCAGCAATCTGCTGCTGCCGCGGGCACGGTGGAGCTTCCTAATGGCTCTGGTGATCGCATTCAGTGAGCCAACCTTTGACCTAGCAGAGAGGCTTGTTGTCCCGCCTCCTGCCAGGAGTGGTGAACTGAACGCGATCTCCGGAGCCAAGTCAGCTGGGAACATTTCCCACACAAGGTGGTGGACCTGCCAGCAAAATGATCTTCAACTTGTCTAGATTCAGTTTCAGTCTGTTCCTCCTAGTCCAGTCCAGTTCAGCTTCCAAGCACTCTTCTAGGCGCTGGATGGCATCTGGTACAGATTATTTGAGAGATAGAGCTGCATATCACCCACATACTGATGACATGGAGCTCCAAATCTCCTGGTGACCTCTGCCAGTGGCCTTATACAGCATTGGGGAGATGATCTGCTTGTGGAATTGGTCATTGAGAAAGGATTGGAGCCAGCTTAGTGCAAGGCCACGAATCCCTAGCCCCAATAAGTCTATCCAGGAAGATACCATGGATATCTAAGGACCAGCTGGGAGAGCATACCCCTTGGCCTCCCTTTAAACATCATCTTGCAGTGCGACAAGAGCAGTCTGTGCCATGCTGGGGCCTGAATCCAGTCTGAAATGGATCTAAGGAGTCAGTGTCCTCCAGAAACGCCTGCAACTGGTCTGCTATCACTCTCTTGATCAACTTGCAGTGACTGGAATATAACAGGCCTGAAATTACTCAGACAATCTGTTGCTAGATTAACTTTTTTCAGAATGGCCTAATAATTGATTCTAAGCAGAAGGGTAAAACTCCTTCCTACAGCAAAGTGTTGATGATATAAAAGTCCCATTCCAAGTTGATTCCTTGGCTACTTTCAATAGCCAAGATGGACAAGGATTGAGAGAGGAGGCGGTGGGCCTACAATGAGCAAGCACCTTGTCATCCTCCTCGGGTGTTACTGGCTATTGGCTATTGCAGAGAATAGAAAGGCTGGAAATAACCCAAGGAAATGTCCATTTTCTGATGGACAGGAGAGAATATTACGTGGGGACCTGAGTATCAGGCTCTAAGAATCTTAGACAACCATGTACCACCTGGAAGGACAAACAGTGGGTAAGTTTCTTATTTTCTGTAAGTTATCTTCACTTGTAGTAATCAATTGCCAAATGAGACGTGCATGAGTTTTTGTGGCTTTTGTTGAAAGAATATGGTTTGGGAGCTTGAAAACAACTTGCATACTGCACTGTCTCCATCTAAGAAGCAAACGTGGTTTCAACATCATCAGCCATGTGAATTTGGGACATTAATAACAGTATATAAACTGGAACTATTCACAAGAACTTGATGCACAGCCTTGAAGGAGATGATTTATCATCGAGAGTTTGCTTTTTTTTGGTTTTATATTCTTAATAGTTAATTAAAGGTATCACCTGTTCTAGTATTTGCATTGTTTTCACGACCATGAAGCCTTTTCCTGTTTCTTTCCAAAGCCTAAGAAGGCTCAGGAGGAACACAGGGAAGAGGGAATTTCTGAAATACGGAGAATAATGAATAAAATATTACATCACCCTGTGGAGACCTTTTGAAAGGTATACTCCCAGACTGCACCATTTTGTGGAACAACTGCATGCTGTCCCATCTCCTTATTTATTGGTTTCCAACTGCAAGATATCTGCAGCACTTCATATTGCAGAGATCTCAAAAATCTCCATGTCTTCTGACAGTGTAACTTTTTATGTCAATCATGCCCTGAAGATGTATTCTCGAAGGCTTTCATGGCCGGGATCTGATGGTTGTTGTGGGTTTTTCGGGTTCTTTGGCCGTGTTCTGAAGGTTGTATAAATACTATCCAACAAATACCAACAAAGCATGGACAGAGTTCCTACTCCAGTCCTCTGAAGATGGCGGCCACAGAGTCTGGCGAAACGTCAGGAAGAATAACCTTCAGAACACGGCCAAAGAACCTGAAAAACCCACAACAACTATCATGCCCTTAAGAACTTGCCCAGTATTCAATAGAATTTCTAGACAGCTGTCTGCTACTGGATATCCAAGAAGAGCTGCACAGATTAATTCCAAGTTCAGAATTATGAAACAGGGGAATTTTATGTGTGTGCATGTGTCTGGTTCTGGGTGTCTGTGAATTTCGTTGTATGGGTATACTGTGTATATACTTACAATGACAATAAATTATTATT